AAATTCAATATAATATCTCATTTGTTTTTTTGTTTTGTTTTTTGTCAGTGGAGTCTACACAGTATGGCTTTCCATCTACATTCAAGACCAGCAAATAACTTCTCTGCGGAGTGACCATCCGACCCAAAGTACAAATTCCGGTTTTTAGAGCAGTAATAACATGGCAATGAAATAAGGTGTGAGTCTGATGTCATACTGAGAGGCAATCTATGCAGAGAATAACATCCCCATGGCATTGATTGTGCAAAGTTTTGATAGAAACACACTGGTAATTGGCTCGCTGGTGCATTTGAAATTGAGGCATGGAATAACTTTGGTCAGACAGGTCTGGACTCTAAAGAAAGTAAACAAACATTTGCTGAAGCAGTAACCGACCTTGCTTTTCAGTACTCTTAAATGTATATATATAGTAGTAGTAGTAGTAATCTTTATTTATATACCGCCTTTTCACTGCACATCGGAGTCTCAAAGCGGTTTGCAATTGTGATTTTTGGGAGTGGGGGTGCCAGTACAGGAGGCACATGCCAGACCTATTGTACATATTTTTAGTGGTAGGGGAAACCGGAGCACCCGGAGGAAACCTACGCAGACACGGGGAGAACATGCAAACTCCACTCAGAAAGGCCCTGGTCCAACCGGGATTTGAACCCAGGACCTTCTTGCTGAGAGGCGAGAGTGCTATCCACTCAGCCACCGTGCCATATATATACAGTATTTGGAGAAACAGAGATAGTTTATATCAGATTCATATACCATACCATACATCAGCATTGTATGGTATATGCTTTGTAAGCTTTGCAGTGATTTTAGTATTCAACAGTCTCATTTCATGATCAGTTCATAATACTTTGAGCACACACACACACACACACACACACACACACACACACATAGACCACGTGTATCTATTTATGTGATAGCAGATATTGTGATCCATTACAGATCTATTGGAGATTTTCTGAATGGCGTAAAATAAAAATGAAACTATAAAAGCACTTGTACCATACCATCATCAGGAATGTTAGTCTATCACAGCGAATGTCAAGAGTATAGAATTCTCCCAGAGCAGTCAATTTGATGGCTGTTAGTTTTGGAAGTGTATTTACTCATCTCATGTATATTTTTGGTCTTTATGACTTTGGGACTTTTTCTGTTTCTCTGTGTAGTTTATTTCTATGTAATATTTTTTTTTAATGAAATCATTTTTTACTTTTGAAATGTGAGGAGTTCTACCTTTAAAGCTGCACTAACTGACTTTGGGATTTAAAAGCAGCGGTTTTGCTGGCCTCGCTCTTTCTCCTCCCCTCCCACAAAGCTATCGCCCCCCACTACCCCACACCCACTGTTGTTTATGGAGCTAGCGTCTCACAATATGGATAGATCTATGTATGGATTGCACATTTTTCGCTGAGTAAGCAGTAACCGGTAACGAAGACACGGGAAGTTTCAGGTTAGCCTCTGCCGCTTGTTGTTTACCTCAGCTGTCTGTGCTAACCATAGACCTGTAGATTTCTCAAGAAAGTGGGGGCCAGTGGTCCGCTGTGATTGGTCACAATCTGGTCCCGAAACAAATTTTCTTCCTTGTTGCACGAAAACTCGATCTAAAATATAATGACACGCCAGCACAAACCTGCGCTACTTTTTCTTCAAAAGGACGTATATCCCAATGCACTGCATGGATATGGATTGCATTTTTGTAATGAATACGAAAATAAAGTCAGTTAGTGCAGCTTTAACTCATTTTCAACCAGAGAATATCCAGTGCTAGTTACCATAACAACACACTGTCAAAAGTTTGCATTTCACCTTTTTTGCTGTATTTTAGTTATAATCACCAGTTGTAGCACTTATTAAAAGAGATTAAAGGTTAAAAAATGTATAAATGAGTTTCTTTTAATAAATCTGGTGAAAAACTAAACATTCTTTGGGGAAGGTTTCTCAAAGGAAGGTTTCTCACCCATCATCTGTACTTCTTAGCAGGTTTTCCCGACCTTTCGTCCTTAATCCAAAGAACTTTTTCAAGGGAATGAAATCTCAGACCGCACATCCAACCACACCCATAGGTTATAAATCTCCAATGTGCTGAGAATTCATTCCTTGAAAAAGTTCATGTGATTAACGTCGGGGAAACCTGCTAAGAAGTACAGATGATGGGTGAGAAACCTTTGATTCTTTGGGGAATTTTTCAGACTTCCAACGGTTTGAGTCCTATAGTGTTGAAATACGTCTTATTGATGTATGTATTTTATCTGTTTGCTCGGTTTTCTCTTGGCCGCACATCTCAGATCACTCTTATAAGCGTCAAATGAAGCCACACTGTCACAGAGACGAAAACACAATTCTCTGGCGTTATTTCTGCACTTTCTCTATTCTCCACAGTACGATGCGTTTAATTGTAGCAATGGAAGTGTGTGTGACGCCGCTCTGAGCTCCCCACGCACCCCACACCTCAGCCATCAGACAAAGAAGCGTAAAGCAAAGGAACAGCCGATAAGAAGGAGGGTTCTGCTCCAGCAACTTGGAAGTCAAAAACATGATACTGAGTTCAGCCAGCGGGGGCAGGCGCGAGCTCTTTAGTGTCATTACTGTTTTTTCATGGTTCGTTTTTCAAAGCCGTGGTCCCGATACTTTGAGCGTGCACATATAGATAATGTTAATCTAATTATGTGATGGCAGATATTGTGATCCATGCCTTTAGAGTTCTTTTGGAGATTTTTGTGAATGACTTAACTGTAAAAGAATGTATACTTCAACCAAGGAGGGCAGATTCGTTGCTTTGAAAAAATAAAAATAAAATCCAGACAGCGATCTGTAGAACAATCACTTTCCTAAGGGTTTCTATGTGATTGTTACTCTTGCCTTTCCTGTGTTTAAACTGTTCGATTGGCGAATTAACAACTTTGTAAAGTCCTTTGTTAAGACTGCTGGTGCGATTTAGGGCTATACAAAAATAAGTTGAATTGAATCTTGCAGCCCCCCAAAAACACACACACACACACCAGATCTAGGATAACTAAACATGCAGTGAGGGTGAGTGCAAAGATACCACAGCACGTGAGGGGAGTGATGGTGCAGCAGTGAGGAACTCTATCACCAAACCTCCACCAGAACCAGTCCTGGAGCACAGGGAGAACAGTGTCAGGTCTTATCCAAAAGAGGAGAGAATTAACTCAAAACAATCAAATGTAAGGGGTACAGACTTTTCCACGACACCCGCAAACCTGACAAAACCATAACCTAAACACTAGACCAGGGGTCCCCAATTAAATTGGCACGAGGTCCACTTACTTGATCAGTTCAATAGTTCAGGGTCCGGACATCATACAAATATTATGTTTATATTATTTCATGGAAATCCATTCAAGCTATTCTTTCAAATGAAATGATTTGAAAAACATAAACAACAACAACTACAGTAGTAAGAACTATATGAAAAAAATATATATATTGGTGTGTATAATTCACACATACAGAAACATTAATCTACTTTGTTTATTTCTACACAACACACCCACAAACCTCTCCCAAACTCCTCCATATTTTACTCTTGTGTCTATTTATATTTCTTCTCTTCCAATTCCGGCATAGTTGAAGAAGGCCCGTCCCTGTGCTCCTCAGAGTCCCAGCAGGAGTCCAGTCCCTGTGCTCCTCAGAGTCCCAGCAGGAAACCAGTCCCTGTGCTCCTCAGAGTCCCAACAGGAAACCAGTCCCTGTGCTCCTCAGAGCTTGTTCATATGGCATTAACATGTCACAGATGTGCTTTGGTGTGAGATCATGGAGAGACTTGTGCACAGACTGAGGGTGATGTTGAATAAGCCCAATGTACGGTTTTACCAGCAGAACTCCCAGAGCAGTCAATTTGACAGCTTTTAGTTGTGGAAGTGTAACTACTCAGCATTTGACATTATTATTTTGTTTATAAATCTATGTTTAATTTTTGAAATGTGAGGAGTTATATCTTTTAACCTAAATTAAATTCCAATTCAGCCATTTTCTGTTGCTTACAAACAATCTTAAAAGAGCAGTTAAAGCCCCTTTTCAAGGTGCTGGTTCTGAACTGGTTCTGGGACTGAGCTTCATCAAGATATAATCAACTGTTATAGTACTTATTAAAAGTCATTGAAGGAAAACAGTCATTTTTACACATTCTGTGGAAAAGTAAATGTATTTAGGAGGCCCCAGGAACAATTATTATAAAATAGTGTGTGACTGTTCTCTTTTGGTTACAAGTAACACAGCACTTCAACACAAACTATTACTGAAATAAGAAATAAAAATAAAATTTAATTGGACATTGTTTTTTTTTTATTATGACCACATTTGGATTTGTTCAGCGCAGTCTTATGTTGCGCTTTCTCCATCCCTCAGTCACTTGTTCTGGACTCATCTGGAAACATCCATCCTATTTCTTCCACTTTATCCTGGGCCGGGTCACAGAGGCAGCAGTCTGAGTGGCCCAGACTCCCCTCTTCACACTTCACACGGACCTCCTCCAGCTGCATGAGGCGTTCCCAGGCCATCTCCAGACTCAGCTCCCTCCTCATCACAACAGTCCCATACAGAGGCAGCATCACTGCAGACGCTGCTCCTTCTTTCGGAGTGAGCAGACCAGAGACACTTGAACTCCACCGCTGGAGGAAGGAGCTCTCAGCACCTGGAGAGGGTATGATATCTGTCTCCGGTACAGAACCATGGCCTTGTATTCAGAGGGGCTGAGTTTCATTGGAGCTGCTTCTCCCTCAGCTGCACACCGTCCCAGTCAGGCGTTCTCATTTGCAGATTTGTTTTGGTCAGTTTCTCCGCTAGGTTCACAGGTCCACCTGCTCCTCAGCGCCTGCAGTCACAATTAAACAGAAGAATGGTATTAATGAAATTGTGTTGTAAATCTTCATACAGATTTGCTAGAGGTACTTCACTCTCACCTCTGTTGGAGCTTCTCCTTGTTCCGGTGGCAGACATGGCTCTGGTCTTATGTACACTGGTTCACTGGTGGGCTGTGGTCAGGAGCAGGAGGTGTGGCTCTCTGTGGTGCTGAGGAGGCCCCACTGCATCTGACAACAAAGGGGCAGTTGAAAAGAACATTGAGTGTATTGTTGCTGGTTGGAGTCTGCAACAGTTCTGTGCCAAATCCACTCCTCTCACCTCAAATGGTTCTTCTTGACGTGAAGGAGCAGCGGCTCTAGTCAGAAGGAAACTCACTTAGAGCCTTGTATCTGCTATCTTGTCCTTTGGGCCATTTTCCAAAGCTCATGATCTGTCACCAGAGGAGACAGATCGTTCAAGGCCGTTGCCCCTCGCCTGTGGAATGAGCTGCCCCTGTCCCTGCGTGTCCTGGAGTCTGTGGATATCTTCAAGAGTCAGCTCAAGACGCACTTATTTAGACAGGCCTTTTAGATCTTGATGTTTATCTTGTTTTACTGTATAGTTTTTTCTTTACTCTGTATGCTCTATATGTATGTATTGATTTTGCTTTTAATGTGAAGCGCTTTGTGACCCTGGTCTGAGAAAGGCGCTATATAAATAAATTTTTACTTACTTACTTACTATGATATGACCACCAGTAAATCCAGAGATCAGACTGTAGACGCTGCTCCCTCTTCACCACAACAGTCTGATAGAGCTCTGACTGTAGACGCTGCTCCCTCTTCACCACAACAGTCTGATAGAGCTCTGACTGTAGACGCTGCTACCTCTTCACCACAAAAGTCTGATAGAGCTCTGACTGTAGACGCTGATCCCTCTTCACCACAAAAGTCTGATAGAGCTCTGACTGTAGACACTGCTCCCTCGTCACCACAACAGTCTGATAGAGCTCTGACTGTAGACGCTGATCCCTATTCACCACAACAGTCTGATAGAGCTCTGACTGTAGACGCTGTTCCCTCTTCATCACAACAGTCTGATAGAGCTCTGACTGTAGATGCTGATCCCTCTTCACCACAACAGTCTGATAGAGCTCTGACTGTAGACGCTGCTCCCTCTTCATCACAACAGTCTGATAGAGCTCTGACTGTAGACGCTGTTCCCTCTTCATCACAACAGTCTGATAGAGCTCTGACTGTAGACGCTGATCCCTCTTCACCACAACAGTCTGATAGAGCTCTGATTGTAGACGCTGCTCCCTCTTCATCACAACAGTCTGATCAATCAATCAATCAATCAATCAATTTATTTGAGCAGGTCATACAAAACAAAAAACAATCCAATAGGAAAACATTTCAAGAAAAAGTAGACACAGCTCAAAGGGAGTAAGCCGAAGTAAAATACTTGTGTGTGCTTACCCCAATTACATTTTCATATTTACATCGTTTTTCAATTAGGTGTGTGTTGTGTGTAGTGTGCGGTGTGTTGTGTGTGTGTGCGTGTAGTGTGTTGTGCGCGGTGTGTTGTGTGTGTGTGTCGAAGTGGGTACACATGCATGCGTGTATATGTTTGTTTCTGATAGTGCATGAGTGCTGTGTGTATTTGTATGTGTACTTGTGTTTATGCCTGGGTATAAGTGTATGTTTGTGTTTGTGTGGATGCACCCAGATTGAAATGTATTTGTGCATGTGTGCCTGAGTGGGTAAATGTATCCGTGTGTGTGTGTGTGCACATTTGTTAGCCATGAGCATATCCAGTAATGTATTTGCATGTATTACACATGTATGTGTCCCCGAGCTTGAGCTTCACACATGCACGCGTCCACACCCCTCAGTGTCTGAGCACATGCTTGTGTCATGAAGATCCAGCTGTAGGAAAACCGTAAGCCCGCACATGGAAATCCCCTGTATATTCTCACATTCGTAAACATGAGCATATACAGTGCTGTACATTGTGCCAATAAATAAGGTCATTATTCAGTAAACAGAAACTCCAAGCAGGCTACAGTAGGAAGTCTACTGTATACGCAGTACAAGTACAATATGTGAGTTAGCAGGTTTGGCTAGACTAGCGAGAAAGCAGAAATTTCATAACAGATTTACAGTCCTTCTTCAACTTCATATTTTTTTAATACGCTTACCTTATACAGTCTTTTGAAATTCACTAATGAGGTAGTACTTTTAAGACAATCCGTTAATTCATTCCATAAGTCCACTCCCCTTCGGGTAATGAACATGTTTTTTTAAAGTAGTACGAACACGCTGTTTCTTAAAGTTCAGTTGGCCTCTTAGATTGTATTTTGAGTCCCTTTCAAGGAACAGGTTTTGTATATGGTTTGGAAGCAATTTGTTTCGAGCTTTGTACATGATCTGTAATGTTTTACATTCAACCAGATCTTCAAACTTCATTATCTTTGATTGCAGAAACAGCGGGTTTGTGTGCTCCCTATAACCAGTATTGTGTATGATTCTTAGAGCCTTTTTTTGCATGATGAAGATGTCTTTGAGATTATGTTTGTAAGTATTTCCCCATATTTCGGTACAGTAACTAATATAGGGCAGGACGAGTGTGCAGTAAACTGTGTGCGATGCTTTTGTATCCAGGAGATGTCTAGATTTCCTCATTATTGCAATAGATTTGGCTATCTTTTTTTTAACACTATTAATTTGTGGTTTCCAGCATAGCTTCTGGTCAATAATGACTCCAAGGAAATTATGTTCATAGACACGTTCTATGATTTCATCTTTAATCATTAGTTTGGGTTCTGTGGTAATTTTTTTATTTCCAATCACCATGAATTTGGTTTTCTTTAGATTAAGTGATAATTTATTGCTGTCAAACCAATCTTTAATTTTTGTCAGTTCCATGGAGACCTCGGTCAGTAGCTGTTGCAGGTTTGTTCCAGCGCATAAGATGGTGGTATCATCGGCAAAAAGTACTAATTTTAACTTTTTAGAAATTACAGCCAAATAATTGATATACAATAAAAACAAAATTGGCCCGAGCACAGAGCCCTGAGGCACTCCACACATAATTGGCCTCAAAGTTGATTTGTACTCACCAATCTGTACAAACTGATGTCTGTCTGTCAGATAGGACTTAAGCCACTGTAGAGGGCAACCTCTTATTCCTTTTTTTTCCAATTTTTTAATCAAGATACTATGGTCTATCGTGTCAAATGCCTTTTTTAGGTCAATGAAAATAGCAAGAGAATATTTCTGTTTTTCTATATTGTCGCTGATCTCCTCAGCCAAGTCAATCATAGCCAAGGTAGTGGAGCGGTTCTCTCTAAAGCCGTATTGGCTGTCATGGAGTAAATTGTGTTTGTTGATATAGTTATTTAATCTGTCTTTAAACAATTTTTCAAGGATTTTTGAAATTTGCGGCAGCAATGAGATTGGCCTATGGTTGTGAAAAGAATGTTTGTCACCATTTTTGTATATTGGTAGCACCTTTGCAACTTTCATTTGTTTTGGGAATTTTGCAGTTTCAAAAGACAGATTGCAAATGTGTTTGATTGGTTCAGTTATGCTGTGAATAACTTTTTTAACCAAGCTCATACTCAGGCCGTCAAAATCCTGGGAGTTTTTGCTCTTGAACTTTCCCACTACCTTAAGAATTTCATTTTCATCAACTGGGCTGAGGAAAAAGGAGCTATAACTTTGGTTGTAACAGACGTCACTTTGCATAGAATTGATTGGTGAGTCAATTGTTTTAGCAAGTTCAGGCCCTATTTCAACAAAGTACTTGTTAAAGCCTTCCGCTACTTCTTGTGGATTAACCAGGGTCTCATTATTATGTGTGTAATATTCTGCTATTGCATTTAATTTGGGTTTGGTTCCGATGATTTCATTTAGCACTCTCCAGAAGCCCTTAATATTATTTTTATTATGTTCAAGCAAAGTCTTATAATAGTCTGTTCTGGTTTTCCTTAAAATTTCCGTTAATTTGTTTTTATACTTTTTGTACCTGTTTTCAGAGTCTGTAGTTCTTGTTTTGATAAATTTTTTATACAGTGTGTTTTTCTTTTTACAAGCATTTACCAAACCCTTTGTCATCCAAGGTTTTAGATTTTTACATTTAGTATTTAATTTAAACAAAGGACAATGTGAATCGAGGTATGATAAAAGGACTGTCATAAAGTTGTCATATGCAACATCTATGTCTGTCTCTTGAATGATAGTTTCCCAGTTATGTGACTTAAGGCTTTGCTTGAGTGCATTTAATGAGTCTTCAGTTAATTTCCTTCGGTATTTAATTGTGTTTGGGTTGAACTGAGATGTGCTTTTCTCCTTTACATCGAGGAACAAAAAAATTGGAAGGTGATCTGTAATATCGTTGATTAATATGCCACTTTTTGTATTGTTATTAATAATATTTGTGAAAATGTTATCTATTAGTGTAGCACTGTGCGAGGTTACTCTTGTTGGCCTTGAGATTTTTGGGTGCAACATCATGCTATACATTGTATTGACAAAGTTCTCAATTGGACTATGATTTTTAACTTTAAGTAAATCTAAATTGAAATCACCGCATAGAATAATGTCTTTTTGTTTTTGGTTTTGAAAGGTTTTCTCAATAGATTCTATGAACTGTTCAATATCTGAATCAGGTGCCCTATAGATACAGCTTGTTTGTATATTTTTTGCATGGCCCATGTCAATTTCCACAGTGATACACTCCATAACATTATCAATTGCCATCGACATATCAGTGATTTGTTTACTTTTCAGTCTTTTATGAACAAAGAGAGCCACACCCCCTCCATTTTTGTGCCTCCTGTTTACGTTGTAGCAATTGTAGCAGTCCAGCATGAAATGTATGTCATTTTCATCTCGCAGCCAAGTTTCAGACAGTGCGATTATATCAAAGTCAACATCAAGCTGTTGGAGATAGCTTTGTATGTCTTGGAAATGTGCATTTAGGCTCCTGCAGTTCAAATGAATAATGGACAGTGTTTTATTACCATTTTTTTCGTTGAGATATTTGATTTCGTTTAGGTCTTGATAATATTTACAATTTCCCACAATAGAATCAAAAAAATTTCTATCAGGATCTGTCTCGTAGGTTACATTATGAATGCAGTCATCGTCGTTTAGGTCCTCATCAGTTTCGTCCTCAGAATTTAGTAGTGGTGTAGTCAAGGTCATCATTTATGGTTTGTTTTGATTTCCATAGTAGTCATTTTAAATTTTTCCAGTTCACAAATGTGTTTAATCCACATCACTTTGGCTTGCTCTGGAGAGCCCAGCAGCTTGATTAACACTTTACAGTTATATGACCACGTTGATTGTATTTTATTCAGTTTTTTCAGTAATCTAGCTTCTCTGGCAATGTCAGCATTTGATTTTGTTAAGTGATCGTTTAGGTACACATTTGTTCCTTTTAACCTTTTCCCCTGCTTCATCAGTGCATTTTTTTCCTTTCTGTTTACAAATCTCAAGATAATGGGTGGCTTTGCCTGGCTGTTTCTCCGAGGCAGGAGGTGACATGCTTCAATGTCCCTGGAGTCTAAAGTGATCCCTTTATTGGCCAGAAAGGAGATCACCTGCTGCTCGACAGTGTCCAAGTCAGGCTGAGTCAGTTCTCCGGTCGCTGCCGCCCTGGCATAAGTGCGGGGTTTGGTGCTCAGTCCTGTGATGACAACATCATTTATCCTTGAATATTGTTCTAGATCAGCCACTCTTCCCTCCAGAGCCAGGATTCTTTTGTCTTTATCTTCATTGTGTTGTTTTAGCATTTTAATCTCAGACATCAAGTTCATAATTAGTTCTTGCTGGTTTGAGATATTTGCCATTTGTTCAGTTAAAGTTTGCAGTGATTTCTGGATATCTTCCATTCTTCAGTTGTGTGGCTTACCGGTAGACCGGAGTTTGATAGAGCAGGCCCACAGCACAGCACACAGGTGGATAGAGCAGGCCCACAGCACCCGATACACCTGATAGAGCTCTGATTGTAGACGCTGCTCCCTCTTCATCACAACAGTCTGATAGAGCTCTGACTGTAGACTGTCATCTTGTTGTAAATCCTAAGTCTTCTGGAGTCCTCCCTCAGGTTTTTTCCCTGAACAAAACCAATGTGTTTTAAGAGCACAGTTCAGAAGAGCAGCAGGACACAGACTGAAGGCCTCTCACGTGGGATGAGTCTGGTCTCTTTGTGGCTGCACTTGTTCCTTTCTTCCCCTGAAGTGGACTGCAGCATCCACATGTCACTCTCACAAGAATAGATCCTACATTTGGTCGAATACATGTTTGGTGTCACTTACATTCTAATGAACACTGAACACTCTGCATCTCCGATATTGACTTACGAACGTTTGGACGTGTGTTCTTTGGACAACAGTATATGTGGCTGCAGCTGAAAGTACAACAGTCATTGGAGTTGTAGAAAACCATGACTTTTCCAACTCTGAGCTTGAGTTCCTGTAATGAAAACAAGTTCATTCATGCAAGTAACAATATGTCTGCATTCCACTGTGGGTCCTAAATAAGACTAAGACTAAGAGTCCAGCTCACCAGACACATGTCCATGTCATTGGTCCAGAGTCAGAATGGCCTCTCACTGTGTAGAGTCAGGATCAGGGTGGTCTCTAGTGGCGCTTCACTGCAGTAGTGTGGTTGAAACCATGGACAGCTCCATCAGCGACACATCCATCTGTGAACCGGGAGCAGACGGTGCCTTTCATTCATAAGTTCATTACTTATTTGAAGATGACTCACCGGGACATGATGATGCAGCGGACTCCAACTGGAACACAAAACTGGAAACAAACTGAAGACATCTTTGATAATGACACAATGACTTTATTACAAACTCCTATCTCATGTGGGGATGTGTGTGTCTTTTTCAGTGCTGTCAAAGCTGGAAGTGCCTTGTCTCTGTCCTCAGCCCAAACGAATGCACATGTCTTACCTTTGGCCGAGGAATCGAAAGCCACGGCCTCCAAAGCCCTGTTGAAGGCTCTACATGTGCATTCACATGGGACACATGGACCCAAGACCCACTCTTTGTCGATGGTTTTGACATACAGTTAAAAACTGTTAAATACGATGTATGTATGTGAGGAAATGAAAGAGAGACATTGTACCTTTATCATTGTTTTCATTAAGGTTTTAAAGTGACAATACAAAAGCCCCCCACTGGGACAGAATGTTGTAAAGTAGCAGTTGCCTGCATGCATAACATCAGTTAAGTTTGGTAAATATGTTCGACGACATTGTCCATGTCAAACAAAAAACAAATAAAATAGATGAAATAAAACAGAAAAAAATACAAATAATAATGAATAAAATGAAAATATTTTAGTAACGTAGTTGGGGACCATAGTTTGGAGACCACAAGATTTCATCTCTGCTGTTTGCAGACAATGTTGTCCTGTTGGCTCCAAACAAACCAGGACTTTCAACATGCACTGGGAAGTCAAGGATTATAGTGAGATAAAGTACAGAACCTCCAAATATGAGGCCATGGGGCTCGATCAGAAAAAGGTGCCTCTCCAGGTGCAGAGGTCCTTCCTCCACTGGAGTAGTTCAAGTATCTCAGGGTCTTGTTCACGAGTGAGCCTCTCATGAAAACCTCTGGTCACGAGCTTTGGGTCATGACCGAAAAGACGAGACCTCAGATACAAGTGGTCGAAATGACTTTCCTCTGTGTCCCTCCCTTAGAAAGAGGGTCAGAGTAGAGCTGATGCTTCTACACGTCCAGAGGTGGTGAGATGAGGTGGCTCGGGCATCTGTTTCAGATGCCTCCTGGACGCCTCTTGAGGAGGTGTTCAGAGCAAGGCCCACTGGGAGGAGACCCAGGGGAAGACCCAGGACAATACTGTAGGGATTATGTCTCTCAGCTGGCCTCGGGATTCCCCCGGATGAGCTGGAGGAAGGGTGTGTGGATCGGGAAGCCCGGGTGTCTGTGTTTAGAGTCTTAGACTGTTGCCATCGCAACCCAGCAACGGATAAAGCAGAATCTTTGGAAGGAGGAGGGATCACAGCCCCAACTCTGTAGATGGCACTCCACCTCCTCTCCTGCTGATCCTCCTCAGCTCTAGAGCAGGGGTGGCCAAGCGTTCAATCTGCGGCTAAAACTATATTGGTGGGCAGAGCGCCAAAGATAATTATGTGTTGCACCAAAAGGAATGACCAATGTCCTCACCCCTTCATAGGCCATATTAGACCCTCAGAGGGACCAATGTGGCCCACGGGTCCCAGCTTGGGCATCCCTGCTCTAGAGTGAACACAAGGCCAGGCGTACTATGCAGGAAACCACACTAGAGTCAGCGTAAGCTCTTATTAATCCATTCTCAAATATAATCAAAACATTGTGTCACTTGTGGCTTTTTCTGTCAAAGTTGATCTGTGTCTAAAATGTTCCTACATAGTGTTTCTGTCCTTTGATTGAAAAAAAGCACATCAAAGCAGTGGGTATCGCACCAGCAACCATCAATAAATCAATAAACAAACTTTATTTACATAAAGTTCAAAGGGCTGGTTATCGGGCGACTCCCCACAGGAGAAAGCAAGGAGTACTATGGAAGACAGAGTGAGATCTCTGCTCACGTGAGGATCATATGTGGACTTACTGCTCATGCTCAATGTGCTTCTGCTCTGGAGACTGCTCAGGAAGTTTATGCAAGTCCTACATAGTTTTCTTTGCCCCCTCCTCTTTTGAAACAAACTATTACTGATCCTAGAACAAGGGTCTTAAACCTATAGTGTGGAGCGACCAGTGGCTCTCCAGGCCTTTCAAAGTGTCCTCTGAAAGGCTTTATCTACAAGTGTCTTTATAACTGTGACTACGCAGTATTCATCCTTTTGTGTTCTAATGAATGAATAGCTTATGTTTGATAAACATATATATTTGTCAAAAGGCTGAAAACCCTTGTGCTAGGGGAATCTATTTTTATTTTTATTTTTATTTTTTTTTGGCTTAATGGCAACATTTTGCCAAATAAATAAATAAATCAAGAAATAAATAAATGTCCAGAGGAGAAATGGGCGGCTGATGGTGGCGCGTGTGTCCCTGTGAAGCACTTTGTGACCTCCTCTGCACATGTGTCACAGTGCTGTAGAAACAGGCGTGGCCTTCTCTCCAGTCTCAGGCTGAGCTTCAGTCAGAATCAGAGTCTTGGAGCCGGGGGAGCTGCTGGAAGTAGTGGACGAATCCCCCGGACATCCCAGCAGAGGTGGAGGGGGTGGGCTCCTCCTCGATGTCCTCAGAGTTGGAGAAGCGTGGCCTCTTGGAGATGGGCTCTTCCTCTTCATCTTCATCCCTGTGGCGTCTGGACCCCCCTGGACGACCCTCCTCTTCAAAGACGGGACAGGGCGCTGGAGGAGGGCTTGCTGCTCGCTGCTCGCGGCTGAGGACCCTCCACAGGATCCTCCACGTCCGCAGGGGGGTCCCACGGGGGGGTGAAGGAATACCCTGGTCTTCCTCTTCACTCTCCGGGTCCTCTTCTTCCTCTTCACCCTCCGTGTCCTCGTCTTCCTCTTCACCCTCTGTGTCCTCGTCTTCCTCTTCACCCTCTGTGTCCCAGTCTTCCTCTTCACCCTCCGTGTCCTCGTCTTCCTCTTCACCCTCTGTGTCCTCGTCTTCCTCTTCACCCTCCGTGTCCTCGTCTTCCTCTTCACCCTCTGTGTCCCAGTCTTCCTCTTCACCCTCTGTGTCCCAGTCTTCCTCTTCACCCTCCGTGTCCTCGTCTTCCTCTTCACCCTCCGTGTCCTCGTCTTCCTCTTCACTGACGTCCTCCTCTGAGAGACTGCCGTAGCCAGAGTCTGCTTCATTCTCTTCATCAGAAGCCTCGTCGTCTTCATCAGAGGCCTCATCCTCTTCATCAGAAGCCTCGTCCAAGCCTCGCTCACGCATTATGTCAAAATACCTACCTACCGGCAACTCACCTGCGTCCTCCTCGTCTGACGAGGGGTCAGGGTCCTCCAGAGCGTCCAGGGGGTCCCGAACCGCTGAAACATATTGACAACATCAACTTCCTCACACACTAAAGTGTTTTTGTTTTGTCAAATTCACAAGTCAAACACAGTCAAACATTTTTAAGAGCTGGAAAGCAGCAGAGGCGTCTGGATAAGAAGGACATTTTCTCTGCTCAAAAAAAGTATTTGAGTGGACTATGATCGTACATTATGGTACATTATCTAGACTTAGTGTAGTATTAGCTGATCCCAGTGAGCTCAGTGTGCCTTCTCTAGCACTACAGTACATCTGACAGTGTACAGGCACCACTCTTACCACCATCAATGAGGAACACTCAGATAAACCTGTGTACAGCATCTCCAGCAACATCTAATGTGCCTCCATGTTTAGCTACATGTCAACTAGCTGTGACTGCTCATGAACTTGTAAGACGCTGATACATGCTGTCGCCCACAAACACAACTTCACAGCCTTCCTGATCAACTTGCGCCATTATCAGCAGCTGTTTTGACATGTTACCAAACGAAAAGAGAAAAGTCCAGCTTCTGTAATGAAGCACTTTCATACAGTAGCCCAACGCACATGCTATCTCTTCTCACAAACACGTGGCTCATCGAAACAGCCACACAACTGTTTACTAGCGTCATGTTCGTTTATTAGATGAATGTTTTGTTATCATTTCAGTGATTACCTCCAGGGACCAGGGGCAGAAAGTCCGGGGCGTGGGAGGGGCGAGCCATCCTTCACAAGGTGTTGTTCAAAGAAGTTTTCAGACCTGGAAAAGTATCAACAAACTGGTTTTGCACAGTGTATTAGTGCCTCAGTGTTAATTCCACCGCTTTATCCTCAAACGCAAATGAGACAAAGAGAATTTTCAGTTCAACACAAGTGTCAGAGACCAACAGCAAGTGAAGTGAGCTTGCAGCAGTTTGAATATATACAATTTACGTCTCCATGACAACAAGACCTGATTATTGAATATATACAACTTACGTCTCCATGACAACGATGCACCCACAGGTTATTAAACGTGATTATTGAATAATTAGGTTTAGGCTTTAGCCCAGTGATCCCCGAAGTGGGCTTTGGGGCGCCCTCTATAGGCCACAATGTGTGTTGAGGAAACATGAATACAATACAAGTACATAGGAAAAAAATAAGGCTAACACTGCGATCAATCCACACCTCACATACAGTCTATCCGTACAATTGACCTAGAGATGTTTTGTGCTACATCCAAACTAATTAAAGCTGGGGTTCCTAACAAAAAAAAACACAGGTTCCAACAGAAATGGTCTCGATGCGTAATTAGTAAAATGTTTTTTGAACGTGCATGAGTGGCTGGTGGTGGTCATGGATATACAAACATGGATATACAAAATATACGGGGGGCCGATTGCACATACTTGCTGCCTTCTGTAGGTGTGCCCCAGGGCATCTCAAGCCCTCAAGGACATACCTGCATGCCATCATACTCTCTACCCTGTCCTACTGTCTCCCAGTGTGGACGCTCACAACTAAGGAAATACTAGAACCTGTGGCGAGACTCTACAATAGAGCATATAAGATCCACCACAGGCTCCCTGGTTGGACCCACCACTGCACTGCTCTATCACAGTCTGGGGCCTTGACTTTCCAGAACTACGCCCTGAGCCATGGGATTAAGCTCTACTTCCACCTGCTCAACAACTGCCCATCGGCCTCACTGTCTATTCTGGTTCCAAGACCCAGCTCTCGATCCGAGCGTTCAACCAGATCCACCACAAACCAAATCTTACCCATACCTCACCACAGGAACACCTACGGACAAAATTCATTCTTCTGTGAGCTCACCAGGGCCTGGAACAAGATCCCCCTCACCATAAGAACCATACAGTCACCTGGACCTTTTAAAAAGACTATGCTGAAACATCTGACGGACAGCTATCGTTGTGACCACTAGTGACGGACACTATAGCCTCACACCAGTGTGTTCCTTCTTTTATGTGTGACAGTATGTTTTGTGTCGAGTGGTGATGTTAATGCTGTGTTTGTGTGTTCTGCAGAGCAGGAACCTGCTGAAAATCAGTTTGTACTGAGCCAGGCCCGATTTTGTTTTAAATCTTTCCTGCCTAATAAATAAAATGAAATGAAATGAAAATGAATCTGTGGCTCCAGTAGTAGTTGATAATCACCATGTATTGAGAGAAAGAATAATGACATGTGAAGGGGGGTTGAGTGGCAAAAAAAGTGCTATATAAAACAGATGCATTCTTATTATTATTATTATCAACTAATTGTAACCGAGAGAGCCCAATCAAACAGTATTTATGGTACACAGGTAAGAATGCAGTGAATAGTTAATGTAGGAGGAATAAAATGACCTCCCTGAATGCTGCCCTCCTCCGCCCTGATAAAGACCTCTGCCTCCCCCGCATTCCGGGGAGAGGGGGCCAAGAGGTTTGACAAAACTCCCAGCCCCATTTTGAAATTCTCTTCCCAAGAAGTTTGCGTAAGGAGAACATCATCTCTCTGCTCTCTCTCGGCCCTCCAGAGGAAAATGGACCGTCTATATTAAACTGCAAGACAAGGACTGTTCTCCACTCATCGCCATCAAGACCCAACAAGGACCGCCATCGACCAAGGGCCCATTCTGTTGTATGATCTGCTCTTGCTACACACAGTTGTTGGCTTAATTAAAATCTACAATTCAAACTAAGAACTCTTAATCTCTCTGCCTTCCAACCCATTCAGGGACAAAGGCTTTGCTTTAGACTAGCTCACCTTAGCCATAGCATTTTAACCATGTATCTCGCAATCAACGTTTCCTTCATGTTATTCTTGACAATTTGCATATTTCATATCTAATCTGTATATACTGCATTAAATCTACAAAACCATCTTTGTCTGAAAGCGATATTTGTACTGATTTAACTCCATAAATTGGGTCACTGATTTGTGAAAGTATTCATATCTTCAGATTCTATTGAAGAGAATTGGAGTAGTAACTAGCTAATTAAATAATGAATTACTCAAATGATTACTGAATCAATAAATGAGCCAATTATTAAATAACGTGACGTCAAACACACGTTATCAGCTGTGATTTATTTCACTGGTGCCCCGAAATATTGCTATTATGAATTATTTTATTTACTACATGATTGTTTTTGATCCAATTCTCCAATATCAAATACATAACTCAAGTTATGTGTGATATCGACTTTTCTCACCCTACATTAAAAAGAGACAAATGCCATGAAAGTTTTAAAAGGTTTATTTTCATTTTAATAAGAAAAAAAAGCACATTAAATAATATGTATAAAAAATATATGTTTAGTTAAGGCTAGTTCAAAATTCTAGTTTTAAGAAATAGCTATGTTTAATTTGGCGACCAAAATGTTTTGAAGAGTGACCAGGACTAGTCGGCCGTGGGTGCACGCGGTCACAGGGCAAATATGTGAATGGGACAGAGTATACACTACACACCGTGCAGTCTCACACACACACACGTGCACACACACACACACACACACTTGTCTTAGGGGAAAATGGGTCTGTCTGGTGTTCTGATGGTGCCGCCCCATTGAGCCTGAGCCACTGGTCCAAACTGCCATGTCTTCGTGCCTGCTCCAGCTCCACTCTGTTTCTGGTCTAATGAAGATCTCTGGTGGAGAGGCCATTTCACACTTGATTCTCCTCTAATGCCCTTGATACGTTTCGGCACGGCACTGATGTTTTTGGTGCTGGACTGTGGGAAAAATAAGAGTGCAAAGTGGTTCATCTTCATTACATGTCGGCAAGCTGAAGCTGGGATTGGAAAATTGTGTTTTGGCTGCACTTTTTCCACCAGAACTTCAATTATCTCCTGGACTCAATTGTGTTGACAAAAACAAGTTTGGAGCTGGAAGGAAATTGGAAAAGAAAGCAGACATTTGAATCAGAGGAGGAACGTTTGGTAGAATCAGAATCCATGTGTCTGGAAGAATGGTGCTGTCAAAACAAGAAGGCTGGTGCTGCTGTCAATTAGTCAAGTTGAGAATTGTTATTGCATGCATTTTCACAAAACTTTAAATTGAAATGGTTGGAACTATATTTTGTGTATTTCGGTGATAATCTTGAATTACAGGTGAAACTCTGAAAATTAGAATACGTTCAAAAGTTCAACTCAAGTTAAAATGATAAACCGACATATTATATACATGTAGACTCATTATTAGTAATGGGTGTAACGAAGCAACTTAAAGCATTATTTTAAAAAACATTTAAAAAATCTGCGATGGGGCTGGTGCTCTGAGCATTGGGTAGCAGCTGACCCCCCCCCCCCCCCCCCCCCCCTTGTAAATGTAAATTACTTTTAATGTTAATGTTATGACATTTGAGCCAAAAACTTATTTGTAGTTCACCTTTGTCACTTGAATAAAGCAAACACACAACAACTTGATTCTCCTTTTTTTAATTTGAGATACGAAGTAATGTAACTTATTTACTGTCTGGGTGCAGTAACTTCCTCCTGTGGACTCACCGCCTGCAGAGGATCAGTGAGGGAACGGTGCTTTGAGCATTGGGTTAGGGTTAGGGTTAGCTCTCATTGCCACCCCCCCCCCCCGACCCCGACCCAAAAATGGACTAATAAAGGGGTAGAAAATGAATGAATGGCGCAGTAACTAGGTAATATAGAGTAACTAATCATTTTTGTTTAGAAGTAACTAGTCATTTCAAGCTTATTACATTTTCTATCTTACCCAACTCTGTTCATTACAAATTCATGCATTCATAGTTCCATATATTTTCAAGTTTCGACCAAATTATTTCTGCATTTCTACATCAACAATCCATTGAACTTCTTGGCGAATGAGGTCGAACTGAGTCTAAAAAAAACCCTCAAAGCATGACATGGAAAACAAGCAGATAGAATGCATTAAATATGACAGATCATTTGTTTGTTTTTACCTACAAAAATGGCTCCCACCGACACTTATAGGCACTAAACCATGTTGCACTGGGCCCAGGGGAAACTCCATCACTGATCTGCGAGTCGATGTTTTCTCACTCTTTCCCTGTGGGAGGAAGATGAATACCGAAGATGCACAACATATCTGGCTGCATTAGCATAATTATAGTTTATTTACAGCTTAATATCCTGTGACTTGGCTGTGGCTTGAAAGTAAGATGCAGAGAGATGGTCCTCTGACATTTATCAAAGCTCTCTGCGATTGGAGCATGTGAGCTGAGAATGTCTTTCATGATCAAACAAAAGTTGAAGAAAAAAAAACACCCATTAAACGCCTCAAAAACAACTTTCTTTTTTGGATCTGTAGAATACGGTTATTTGATGTTCACTCAGTCAGACCGTAGACTTTGGCCAGCCATTGTAAAAAGAAAACGTAAACTTGGCTTGTATGCGCAGAACTATTTCTCTCTCTTCTTTGTAATCTTGGTCTAATTTGCAAACTTTTTCGCTTCTCCGGGTTTTGACACGACTTTATGATTATTTTTTTTGACAGGAGGTGGAGCTGTGTCGACTCAACAGCCAGGAGAAGTTGGGGCTGACGTTGTGCTACCGTACGGACGAAGAAGAGGATGTGGCTATTTATGTCAGCGAGGTAAAAATGTACACTATTTTTGACCATTTTGTCACCACCGACTGTAGAAAGAGTCTGTTTTGGCCTTTGCTTTGCTTTAACATTGAAAAATATTGACACAAAAACCGAAATCGCTCTGTCACTATCTCATTTTCATTCATTTTATGTTATTTATGTCCATTATACACAAGATATACAAACAATTATGACGATAAGTTGCGTTCAACAACCTGAGTCCTGGATCTATAGCTCTTCTACCTTCTCCTTTTTGAATTGTGTATATGAACTTGTAATGTCACATAAACGTTGCCTATCGAGCTGTGAAAGAGCAGCGAATGAGGCGATATTCTGCATTCTGCTGTTGTTCAGACATACTGTATCTCCGTGAGAATCTGCAACACAAACTTTTTCTCTTGAGAAAGTTCTCCAACGCTGAATCCTTTTATGTGAGTCTCCACTTGAAAAAATGTATCAGATGTGTTCTGGTGCGGCGCGCTGTATTTTCTTCAAAAAGAGCAATGCTCGCTGTGTGCAAATGAAAATGTGGAGACATGCAGGAGAGATGTATAGGCGTAAATCTATTTGAAGTCGCATAAGTGAACGACGAGAATGGACGACCAGTGTCTGAATTCTGTAAAGAAGGAAAAAGTCAAATGAAAAGAGGAATATATTTCTTTGATCAGCTTCAGTATTATTAGGATGTGGTGCAACAATAACATGTACTTGCTTCTGTATGATGCTAAAGTTAGAGACTTGATTGTATTGCAGTATAGACTTTTACTAAAATAAAATAAAATTATCAAGACTAAATTATCAAATGTAGTATCAATACTGAATGTATTATTGATAATGGGGAGGACATATATCATCTTTTGCTTCTGCCTTCTCCTTTTGAGCTTTTATTCTTGAAATTATATATACCTGTAAAAAAAAATACATGGTAAAACTGCTATTTTTTCTTATTTATTAAACCTTTATTAAACCAGGAAAGTCCCATTAAGATTAAGAACCTCTTTCTCTTTTTACTACTAGTTATTGTTTGCTTATCTTCAGTTGTGTGCTGTATTAATCTGAATGAGATTGTTTCCAAAATCCTGTTTTTGGTCACTGGGTGAAACTAAAATGTATTTCCAGTTTAAAGTATTTGTCTCCAAAAAGCTCTAAACAAGTTACCATTATTTATTGAAATACTGGTGGTTGTCAATGGAGGAGATCGGATTAATTCAAGATTTTTGTTTCATCCAATCTCTTGTCAAACCGTGTACAGGAATTTTTGTTTGCTTGTATTTCTTTTTTCTGTGAAGTGTTTGTATATCTTGTGCTTGTTTGAAATGAATACACAAATGAAAAAAAAGTAATTTATAATATAATGTTTTGAACTTTACAGAGACATAAACAAGCTCACTCAGATAATTCTACACCTGCCTCTGCTGGAGTTGGTTGCTGGCATTCCACGGTGGCTGAGTGGTTAGCGCAGGCTCCTGGGTTTGATGTGACGGAGAAAAAGAGACAAAGAGGGCGAGAGATGCTGCAGCGCAATAGTTATTATTTGAAAAATCAATACCAAGAACAGACTCGCTTGTCCCAAAACCACAAATACACTTCAAGTCTTGATTCTTGTGAAATGAGACAGAGTCAAGTCCGAGTTGCGTCTCAAAGTAGCAGGAGATGGGATCCTGGTGAGTCCAACGAGTCCCCATCTCTGCCAGAAAGCCTCATATATAATAAATGTCCCTCTGATTTTTCTGTAACCATTTTATTTTTTTGCGCCTTCATCTGCGGCCAGTCCCGGTGGGCCTTCCTTTTTTTTTTTTTATACCCCCAAGACTCTGCCCGGGTCCATATCTCCCTCTGAGGCCATATCAAACCCATTCAAAACGCCTCTCTCAATTCAATACAACTTCTGCGGTTTACGTTTCGTTTGAAGTCGACTTGGACCCTTCGAGGTGTTTCCTTTGAGAGCAGGAGCAGAATATAAATGACAGTAGTGTGTGTGTGTGTGTGTGTGTGTCTATGTGTGTGTCTCCTGGAAGCCTCTTTTAAATGTTCACTATTCGTAACAGGAGGAGGAGGACGTGGCATGCAGATGAGCCGCTGACTCACACTGTTTACATTGGGGGCGTTGGGAGTAAACGTTTGTATCGCGGGGCCGCAACTTTGTTTCAAGAGCAAAACAAAGTCACGTTCAGACAGCGAGAGCATTCGTCTCCGTGATTTGTGTCTCGTCACCTGTGATTTTTCAAAGTTGACTAGAGCAGCTTTTGTTTAGACTATGGCCAGTTTAAAAAGCTCTGGTGTCTATATTAAAGGTCCTATATTGCACACTTCTTCATTTTTCACTGTTCATCCTTAATGTGGGACCTTTAACATCAGAACTCCAACTCCAATTTATTGTATATGTATTAGACATCTTCAGATTTTTAGATTCTTCTTCCACAAAACAAGTTCTCTCAGATGTGAAGGTTGGTTGGTTGGACTTGTAGGCAGAGGCCAGGAAGCTGCAGCTGCTCTTTGGCAAACTGCAGTTATTCAGTCTGGAAAAAAGGCAAGGCAAATATATTTGTATAGCACAGTTCATACACAAGGCAACTCAAAGTGCTAACCAAAACAAGAACAGAAATAAAATCTACACAAGGCATAAATGATCACGGTAAATTATAATGTCGTTTTCTTCATCTGTTTTAGCGCAAATTATATAAAAGTTAGTAAGGGTTAAATAGACGGTACATATCTAAAACCTTATAAATGACTTACATTTTGGGGGAATTTTCTCAGAAATGACTGGTACTCTGGTCCGAATTACAGCAGAAAAAGTGAGGAAATAAGAGCACTCAGATTGCACACATCCACCAGGATCTATTATTCAAAATCATGGATTACATTTGTGCAAATTCACGTTTTGTACAATGTTTTTTACAACAGGATCGGGCGCAACACTAGAGACTTGACACTCGGCCTTTGCAGTTATTACAAACAAGAGAGCGGCTCAGGCTTGTATTCCCCAGAGAAGAGATTTTTCTATTGTCCCTCTCCAGCCTTAGCTCCAGCCTGTGACCCCCTCCTGGTTTAATGCGCTGCTCTGTGTGGGAGTGGGCCATCATGAAGATAGAGTGCCTGTGCTCCCAAACATCTCCAGAGATCCCACTGCGATAGGGGAGAGTGAAACGAATGAACCCAGACAGCCATTGACTAGACGTGAAACAGTGCTCTCTTGTTCGTGTTGGTTACATTGGAGGCAGATGTGGAGTTTTTCCTTCTAAATTATAAGTAGCTGTATATAGAGTTTTAATCTGGGTGATGCAGGAGGGTCTATGGACAGTGAGGCTGATGCAGGACATGATTCAAGACATTCAACAACATTTATGGACATTTGTCATCTGCCCCTTATGGACCGATAGCTCTATGTGTTTTTTATCATGAAATTTCTTGAGTTTGAACTGTTTTATTCTCTGATCTTTGTTGGTAAATGTTTGTAATTTCCTTTGAGTGGTTTAGGGCTATATGAGATTCAGAATCATTGTATTTGCCATTTGCAGTAAAACCCCATTGGAATACATTTGCAAAAGTCCCCATTGTGCACAAAACAAGTGCATAACTAAATGTAAATGTGGACTTTATTTATCCCAGTAGGGAACTTTATCCTCTGCATTTGACCCATCCTACAAATACCACTAGGGCGTGTGTCAGGAGCAGTGGTCGCCGTAGTACTGGGCCCGAGAATCCAGATGTCGATGCTCGGCTTGGTCAGGACTACAAGAGCTGGAGGATTTATCTATTGCGCCTGTTTTTAGTGGTAGGAGAAACCGGAGCGCTCAGAGGGAACCTACGCAGACACGGGAAGAGCATGCAAACTCCACCAGAAAGGCCCTGTTCCAATATAAACAAGAAGAAATCGAACTGAATCGAAAATTTAGTCATAAAAGTGACTCATATCTTGATCAAACTAGTTCACATAGGGCACTGTCCGGTTTCCGAAATGTGCTAAAAATAGCTCAGATGACTGCGCATGCGCGCATGTTTCGGACAAACATTGTGTACGACTCGTTGAGTTCTACTGTGTTCTCCTCATACGCGTGTGTATTTATTTGGGCTAAATCATTGAATCATGGTGACAACAAAACACTGCAGTTATGGTGCTTGTCGGAGCGATTTCAGATACTCTGAAAAGGACTATATGAAAGTAACATTCAACCCGTTCGTTAAACCACAACATCGGACCAGACCAGGACCAGATCAGACCAGGTGGGTGCTTGTGGTCGGCAGAATTTCTCTCATGAAAAGGTTAAAAAGGGCACATGTTTTTTCAAAACACTTCGCTGGACCAACTGTGGAGCATCCAGATCCAGTCCTAGCTACGTTTAGCTGGGACTGGATCTGGACCGCTGTATCAGGTCCGTCTGAGCTCTTCTGAATGTAGTTAGCACAAACTTTCTCTTTACACCATTTACCCCCATCAATCCATATTAGTATTGTTTGTCCTAATCCAGAAAGTATACAATTCTCACACCTGAAGAAAGATGAGAGGGATTTTTTTCAACTTTGTGTCTGCTTATTATACGGCTTTGTACCAATTGAACACACAAAATAAACGTCATTCACTACTCATGCCGAAAGGTTTATTTAATGAGTGCAAAGAAAATAGTTCCCAAAGGTTTTCCCGTGGCAGGCGAGTAACAGTGAGGATAGTTAACCTAAAAGCGATCGCTTTAGTCGCATTAAAAAAGTATTTTTGTCATGAAAACCTGAACAGTTAATTCTGAAAACCTCCGTGCACTTGTGTTATGAATGTGTATAATGTATTCTCCCATTAACATTTAAATATGTTGATTGATTGTCATTTGCGTTTACTGAGTGTGGCTAGCTCTGATAGTTTCTCTCAGAGACAGTGGCGTAACCCGTTGTGATCATGGATTTATTATAATATCAGCTGACTGTAGCTAACTAATGATCAAACTAATTACAAAGTGGATAGTGCAAAAACAACTTGATAAATGGAAGTTAATCACAGCAAAACAAACAAAGAAGGCGCTAACATTGCAATTTAAATGACTAGATAATGTTAGCATAATCCTCACCATTATCTTTTTATCAATTCAAACCGTCTACCAGTTACTGGAAGACCACGACATTCAAGCCAACGTTATAATTGGTCTACACTATGATCCCTGATGGTTTGATGGTGGAATTTTGCCCCTGGTATATCATTTTCGTCTAAAGTGACAAGTGGTATTTGATTCATTTCGGCAGTGTTTGTCCGAAACATGTGGGCGGGAGTTGACAGGCGGCGGGGGCGTGTCTTAGTGACGTCATTCAGATAGTTCGCTATTCTGTATCTGTCTTCCCACAGATCTGTCCGAACAGCATTGCAGCCAGAGACGGGCGCATCCGGGAGGGGGACCGCATCCTACAGGTACTGCTATCATCACCACACTATACACCACTCTGTCCCTGTGCTATAACCGGTGCTCTTCGGGGTTACAGTAGCACATTAGAGTAGCAGCCCCTCCCTCCTGTGTGACTGCTGCGAGGAGTGAATACCCCCCAGGCTGTTGTAGCTACAGACTCAGCACCAATGGCTTGTGCTAACTGCTGTATAGTTGAGTGTGACAGGGTTTTTAGCCCCGCAGTCCTGTCTTCAGCAGGAGAAGCAGCAGAACTGTTACTGTGAGGCGGAGAGCGGCCCCTGTGCTCTCATTGTTGTGTTTGCTCCAGTCCCGCGTTCTTATTTTATCCCTTTTAACATTCACTCCTTGAAGAAAGCCATGTCATGTTTTTTTTTTTTTTGGATTTTCAAACATGCACTAATAACACAGAGGTGTCAAACTCACAAATAAAAAAGTAGGAATTGATTGGGGGCCGAAAGAATAGAAGAGATTTCCTTTTCTTATAATTGTTTTTTATATGATGAAGGTATTTTGAAAGGAATTTTATGTGACATGAGTTTCAATATTATTTTCTGGTTGATTTTTCAGAAAACAAAATGTGTTTTTTGGACCAAATATAACGCCTGTTCACTGCTTTATATTAAACTATTCAACTTATACTGATGTATTGGGTTAATTTTTTTAGAATACATTAAATTTGGTTGTTTTCCTGAGAAAATGGATAATGATCATTAGCATCAATGCTGCAAGCTACTAATAATAATTGAAAATCATCCTAGGGGCCACTAAAGATTGTCTTGCGGGCCGTATTTGGCCCACGAGCCTGAGTTTGACACGCCTGCATTAAAGGGTTAATGCTAAATCTGCACTAACTACTTTGTTTCGGCCGCATGAGTGCGATAGAAAGGGAAAAACAAAACAGTGACTTTTTATTACTTTTTTACAATGTTTAGGGGCCATGGATTGCCGACTTAATGGCTTTATTATACCAACGGTCACCAAATTATTAATTAATCTAACATTCAAAAATGTGTTCTTACTTTTTTCTGTTCTCGCTCTCCACACACCTTAATTACTCTATGAAAACAGTGGTTGGAAGTATTTATGATTGTTTTCCTCTGGTCGTAACAATAAGACTGATCAACAAATTTGTATATTATGAATCAAGTTTATTTATAAAGCACAAGTCATGCAGCGCAACCCAAAGTGCTTTGCAAAGACATTAAATCATACACATTTACAAGCTTTTTAAAACATATAAGGTTTAACAATAATGCAAAAAATACTAATAAAATGACTGAATATGAGAATTAAAACCGTTTCAAAAAACTCAGTCATACTCAAAAAGAACAGGTTTCATCTTTGACTTAAACAATGCTACAGATTAAAGATTGAAGTTATTGTTAATGGTTTGATTTTTCTGACAGACTTTCAACAATATTTAATAATAATAATGATACATTTTGTTTTTTATTTCACAACCTCAAAGTTCTGCAGATTAAAATACAGTACAACGAACAAAGAAAAACATCAGAAGTACATAAAATATCAAAAACAAACATGAAGAATATTTATTGTTTCTTTATGTTTTTTCACTTTTTATGTGTGTGTGAGATTTGTATGCACTCTTTGCCTCAGGGATGCTGTAATAAAAACAACTCCTACTTTTTGGACTGCTTCTTTACGTCGGGTCCAAGCTGTGGCTCTTTAAAAATATCCACTAAATTCCACCGAATGAATCGACGATTGTTAAATTAGTTTTTCAAATTATCGCGGGTGAGTAATTCCCCTCAATGACACGTAGGGCTTTTTCCATAACAAGCTGCACATAATGAGCTCTGCATTAATGAGTCCAACACTAATGAGACGCTCTCGAGACACCAGTAAAAGCAGTTCAACACAGAAACCTACTTCATTTAACTTCCGCAATCCACACAAACACTTGGATAATCCTTAATGGCCCATATTTATCTGAGCCGTCCAGCGCTAGTCACTAAACACCAGGCAAGGTACCGTTTATACAAGGTTAAATGGCCAAGAGTCTTTACTGTATGTGGTGGTTTCTATTCTAATTTAGTGTATTTTAACTGCAAAAAAGTGATGAAAAATACAGTAAGTCCAAAATTGCTAAAAGATTTGCCGCAATGTATCTTGATTTTTTAACGCATTTTGTCTGCCTATAGCAAGATTTTAAAAGACACAAAAAATGTCTCCCTTAGAATGAGAAATTAGGCGTTTGAAATTAAACTAAATGGCTTTGTCTCGTTGGCTAATCTTGTTTTAAGTCAGAATGTGCTCAAGTGAAGATAAAAAACACCTCAATTCAAGCAATTAATTAATACCTCATATGTTATCATTTTTTGCAGTGCTTTATGCAACTAAGGCGGCAACTCCCAAATAGTAGAATAAAACGTTATATATGTACAAATATATACAGCATAGACAAGAGATCTCAGTTGATAGTGTGTCTCCTCTGAGCTGAAGGTTGGCGGTTCGAATCCTGCTCCAGACATAAAAATCCTGCTGCAGTGAGTCCTTGGGCGTGAATGAATGATTGGTTCTTCTGCTATGTGAAGCGCTTTGAGTGCCTTGAAAAGGTAGAAAATATACTGCTAGAAAGAAACCATTTGCCATTTAGAAGGAAGCTTGTTTAAGTACCAGTTTGTGAATGAGTTACACCACAACATGCTGCCTTTTTTCTTAATGACAAAAGATGTGATCCTTTATATAATGAGAGCTGATTGGTTGAGTGAGAGGGTGAGAGAAAAATACTTGTGAAAATAGAACCAAACTGTTTGACAGCCAGGAACATGGATTTTATATGGACATCTATAAACATTTATGAACATTGGTCATCCGCCCTTATGGACCAATAACTCTGTGTTTATTGTTGCACTTCCTGTGTTTTAACTGTTTAATTCTCTGATCTGTGTTCCCGACTATTGGCAACTTTGTAAAGCCCTCCGAGATAACTTCTGTTGTGATATAGGACTACACAATAACAAATTGCATTGAAAATATTTTGTATTTTCAGTGGAAAGGAAATAGGGTACTCCAGCTTTAACAGCATTTTTTTTTCATTTTTTATACAGGATGAAAAAATTGCGTATTCCAGCATTTATACGTATCCCTATTGCTGCCTGCGACTGAAATATGGAATATGGGTTGCGGTGGTGTTCTGCGAGCTACACCAGTTAGCTCCCAGCGCTATTATCCACCAGTGACAGGGGCCATTAGTCTCCCCCACACAAAGATGGACGCCCCCTGTCAGTGACCAGTTAATTGTACAGTTAGATGTATGTACGGCGCGAGATACAACAACAGCAGCAGCAGCAGCAGCAGCAGCAGCAGCGGCAACAGCAGCAGCAGCAGCAGCAGCAGCAGCAGCAGCAGCAGCAGCCGGGCCTCGCACCCACTGTCCCGTTCATAATCAAAGCTTTATATTAGAAAAGGTCGTGCCCCAGTCCCAGCGCAGATGTGAGTGTGGGCCTGGTTTCACCTAAACAGATTTGCATAAGCTAAACAGATAAAAGGAGCTTGTGTGTGCATGTTTAATTGTATATTTCCATTAACGCCGTTATTATGTATTTGTTCAGATTAATGGCCAAGACGTCCAGGACAGAGGGGTGGCGATGGCCGCTCTCTCCAACGAAGAATGTCGGAGAATCGTGCTGCTCGTTGCCCGACCAGAGTTGCAAGTATGTGTCATTGTTTTTAGTAAAATATATTTCCATTTGTGAGACCATTCTAGTGCATTTGTGGTTATACTGTAGTCTTGTATAGGCCTGTCACAATAATTACTATATTGGCCTATTATTCATTATTGGATCAAAGAAACAATACATTTTTTGGGGCTGAATATTTATTGTCTTTTAGATTTCAGCCATTTTCTTTGTAATATTGTCTTAGCTGTAGAGGTTTGAAAATAAAAATCTGGCTTTTCACAAAACTACGGTAAAGTGCAAATGGTAAGCCTTTGATGTTTTTTTTCTTAATGGCACTTATCTGTTTTTGCAAATTAACTATTTATTTAATAGAAGCACTCCAAATGTGTGGTCGTGACAGGCCTGGTTTTGTAAATATGTTCAAACAGTTTGTTGTCAACTCAACTCAACTCAACTCAACTCAAAAAATATTCCCGCTGACACAGCATTAGCCTAAGATTCATTATGAAGTTAAAATGAACTACTGCGTTGTCGTTTGGAGCAGTCCATTGTAGCCATAAGTGGCAACCACCTCCACCTTTCTTCCACCACTCTTGCTGAAAGCCCCCATTGAGACCTCATCATGTTTTATTTTTATGTAGCACCACTGTAATTGACTTCCAACTCCGAGCCATAAAAGCTAATGGCATGCTAATGTTGAGTGAGTTCAGGACAGAGGCCGCTAGCAAAGAGGCAGAAGTTGACTTGTCGCAGTGCAGAGAAGCCCGGAGCAAAGTGCACTATAGATATGTGTGGAGTAATTAACTGTGTCTGAAAATATGAAGCCACTTTAGTCCAGAGTCAGCAGACAAAGAGATGATGAATAGTGCGGGGGCTGGAGGCCGAAGGGGAACATATAGTAAAAAGAGTGGCGCACGCGCTTCTGCCGTCTTTAAGCTAACTGTTGAAATCACAGCTGGAGGAGGCCTGGCTGGACGACGAGCACAGCGAGTTCCTGGAGCAGCTGAAGATGGAGATGCTGGAGGAGCAGCAGAGGGAGGAGATGGAGATGGCGGCCTTAGAGGAGGACCAGGTGAGGGCTCTCAGACGGATATAGTTTGGGTGATAATATCAGTGGGGGTGGGTCCCGGGGGTCTAAAAGCTCCATGAGCAGGTGCGCTGATATGTTTGCTAGGTGTTTGACAATATATCGATATGGTGATGTATCGTGATAATTTCTCACACAATCAATTATTGATATGCTTTTGCTAAGTATCGATGACATTGTCTTCCATTGACGTGTTAATAAGTCAATAGCGTTTTGCACTATTTTCATGTTCCCAGATGTCTATTAAATCTAAAATGTATGGGGATTAGTTGTTGAGCATATTTTATCGAGCCAGCAGGTGGCACCAGCGCTGCCTTTAGATGTTTGTGAACAGGATGCACTTGTTGCGCCTCTTTTTCTCTGCTTTTTGTCTGAGACTGGTGATTTCAGTAAAACTTCCCTCTACTCAACTGACCAATATATTGATCGGAAAAAGAATCACCCAATTATTTTGTATGGTGTTGTCTTACCTCTCAAAAACGGCTTTACAGGATGGTCTAAAAGTTGGCTCTTGGCCCAACGCTACAATCCAGATGCGTGTCAATGCTGAGGGGAGTATTTCTTCTTGGGACCAGTCTAGTTTAGCCGCTATGGACCTGTGACAATGCACTCGTCAAATGAATGGGGCTCATGAAAATATAAAATAAATGTGTTTTTTTTACATTTTCCTTCCCCGCGGCCATTTTGAAACTGCCCACAGAAGGTGAAAGTGGTGGCACATTAGTTTTAACGGCGGTGAAAGCTGTGTTCATATTTACAGTCTACGGATATTATGCAGTGTTTTAAAACAAACTTACTGAGTACATAAGGATCATGAATATTTACCTAATGGGACAGACAGACTTTTTGAAGAGATTCATTTCAATTTAAGATTCTGTTTTGCTTTGTGGATTGGGCAAACATGCATATAAATGGAAAGAACAATCCCCCATGATCACTGTGTGAATATATTATACAGCACACTAGAGTTGTGGAATTACAATATAAACACAGCGCTTTTTCATGGATTCAACTTATATAAAACTCTGCATAATATATTTTATGCTCAACTCAACTCAACTCAACTCAAAAACTTTATTGTCCCCAAGGGGAAAATTGTTTGCATGTGGTGGAGCAATACAAATAGCAATACAATACAATAATACAAAGATCTCAGTGAGTATGGCACATATCAGGGAACATCACAACATAATCAAGAGGAAGCATGTCTAGATCTTTAAAATTGTCTGTTCAACAGATTAACTGCCGAGACCACAAATGAACATTTGAAACGGTTTGTTCTAGCCCTGGGAAGCCGATATCTTCTCCCAGAGGGGAGCAGTTCGAACTCCAACCTCAGGGGGTGGTCACAGATGGAAAAAACAGACTGAACTTTGTTCAGGACCTGTCTTTCATATATTTGTGTCAAAGACATTTGTTGTTGGCCAATTATACGATTGGCCTCAGACACAATTTTTCCCATGCGACTTCTGTTTTGGACAGACAGGTTTCCGTAAAAGGAAACTAAACAGAAGGACAGAACAGACTCGATAAAGGACCTATAAAAAAGCATAATCAGGGACTTGTCCACATCAAAAAACTTTAGTCTGCGTAAAAAGTACATTCGTTGTGCCCCTTTTTTTCAGATCTGGGAAGTGTTCTCATCAAACCTCAGACGGTTGTCTATGATGGTTCCCAGATACTTGTATGACTCCACTGTCTCCACTGCACAGCTGTGGATGACAGTTGGGGGCAGTGAGAGTTGTGGAGCCTTCCCAAAGTTAAGGACCATTTCTTTAGTCTTCTTCACATTCAGAGTGAGGACGTGCCTGTCACACCACTGGACAAAGTCCTCCATGACTGGTCCATGCTCCACTTCTCCATCCTGCAGCAGACTGACCAGGACTGTGGCATCTGCAAACTTCAACAAATGTCTGTTTGGATGCTTGCTCTGACAGTCATTTGTGTAGAGTATGTACAGAAGGGGTGAGAGGACGCACCCTTGTGGAGATCCTATGGATGACTCTTTTTTCTCAGACAATATTCCATTCACTCGAACTCTCTGCAGCCTGCGTGTTAAAAAGTCATCAATCCACTTCACCAAGTTTGGATTCAGATTAAAATCAGCCAATAATTTAGAAAATAAAATATGTGGCTGAATAGTATTAAAAGCAGAAGAGAAATCAGCAAATAGCAGCCGAGCTTGAGTCCTGCAGCCTTCCAGATGCTTGGAGATCAGGTGGAACAAGGTAACGGTTGCGTCCTCCACTCCTCTCTTGTCGCGATATGCAAACTGCATGGGGTCCAGTCTCTCCTGAACTTCTGTTGTTAAAAACTCCTTCACTAGACGTTCAAAGCTCTTCATTACTAGTGAAGTCAGAGCGACTGGCCGAAAGTCGTAAAGCTTTCGTGGAGACTTTGTTTTTGCCACTGGCACGATCACTGACTCTTTTCACAGTGATGCTAGAGTTAGATTTTATTTGGTTTTAGTTTAGTTATTATTCATTTATATTGTGCTGTGTGCTTCTCATTCCCTGCTGTTCTTTAACTTGTGATGCAAAACTGAAATTTTCCCACTGTGGGACGAATAAAGGCTCTTATAATCATATATATGCTCAATAGATCCATCTCTATCAGATATTGTTCATGAATATATCAAGTTTTTGCCTTTTTTGGGGGGATCTGTGGGATTGCCATATATATAACAAGTTCCAGTTCCTGCCAATATCCAGAGATTCCACACATTGAAGAGGAGTGGTTCAAAATTCCACAGGCCATAATCAACAACCTGATCAAGTCTGTGAAGGAGATGTGTTGCACTGCGTGAGGCAAATGGTGGTCACAGCTGATTCTGGCTGGTATTCTGACCTCTCCAAAGCCATCACTGCAGAAACATCTTAGAGTGGCCTTTTACTGTGGTCAGCCTAAGGCTCAACTGTGAAGAAGGATGGATTCTCTCAGCAAAAAATAACAGTACTACAGTTTTGTGAACAATATCTGACATGGAAATTGTAGCAAAAACAAAAGCGCTGCATATCTTTCAGTGTGTTGTGGCTAATGTTACCTCTAAAAGTGAAATGTAGTGAAATGTATTTACAAAAGGAACATATGTTTTAACAATCCTCTGTGTTGCTTTCAGAGAGATGAAGATGAGAGGCCGTCTTGCTCGTCCTTGTCTCACCACACGCAGAATGTGCCAAACAGGAAAGAGCGGCGGGGCAGTGCAGAAAACGTCCTGGCTCAGATCCAGCGGCGTCTGTCCCAGTGCCTGCGGGACAGGGAGCCTCACCGTCACCCCGGCTCCACGCGGCTGGACGACAGGGACGAGGACGAGGACGGAGACCACTTCCAGCAGCTACTAGAGCTCAAGTGCCAGATCCGGAACAGCGGAGAGTACGACCTCTTCTACAGCCGCCGCAGCACCATCGAGTGCAGCGTGGCAGAGCAGGGCAGTGTGCAGAACGAACTCAGAATGCTCAACGAGGAACTGCGCAGTATTGAGCTGGAGTGTCAGAACATCATGCAGGCTCATAAGCTCCGCAAAGGCCAGGAGTCCCCTTCCAGTGGACACACACACCTGTCCAGTAAAAACCAAAGCCCAAAGGGAGGGAGTCAAACCAGGGGAAAGCTGACGGACATAAATGAGCGGCTTGAGAAATATGACAAAGACAGCTCCAGTGCCTACAACACCGCCGAGAGCTCCCGCAGCACTCCTCTGCAGATGGACCGCTCCCCTGAACACTCTCTCCAGAGAATCAGCCTCACCAACCAGAGAAACCTCTGCAGCGGCCTCGCTATGGGCCAGTCCAGCCCTGTGCCAGGCCTCAGAGCTCCGCTCCTGGGGAAGGGCAGCAGTCCTGACCACAGTAACCCCTCTGAGTCCGACCACGGCCCTCAGCCTGAAGAGGATCAGCAAAGTTCAATGGCCTCAGTTTCCCAGATTCCTTATTTCTCTCCATCCCACAGTTCTCATCAGCGACAGGCCGTGATCCCTGCCCACGCACGGCACTACCAGAGCTACATGCAGCTGATCCAACAGCGTTCGGCCGTGGAGTACGCACAGAGCCATCTCAGCCTGCTCAGTCTCTGCAAAGAGCCCCAGAGACCTGAGCCCAAGATGGAGTGGAAGGTGAAGATCCGCAGCGATGGCACTCGCTACATCACCAAGAGACCAGTCAGAGACAAGATCCTGAGAGAACGTGCTCTTAAGATCAAAGAGGAGCGCAGCGGTGGAATGACCACAGACGACGACGCCATGAGTGAGATGAAAATGGGTCGATACTGGAGCAAAGAGGAGAGAAAACAGCACCTGGTCCGAGCCAAGGAGCAGAAGAAGAGGAGAGAGTTCATGCAGCGCAGCCGTCTGGAGAGTCTGAAGGAAAACCCTCAGAGCAGCAGCGAAGTGCGGAAAGAGGTGAGCATCATCGAGCTTAGCCAGAAGAAAATGATGAAGAAACGAAACAAGAAGATCCTGGACAACTGGATGACCATCCAAGAGCTGATGACTCACGGCACCAAGGCCCCTGAGAGCGCTAAGGTAAACAATGCCTTCCTCTCCGTGACTACTGTATGACCGCACAGGATACCTCTGTGCAAAGGAATACTTGCCTCGTTCAATGTGGCTTTTTAGGAGGACAGAAATATTTTTCACACTTTGTAACTCAAAAAGCATTTTATAAAGGATTTATCAGTGATCTGACCGGATCTGTTTCTGAGAAGGGTTTTTCATAGTAATTCACAATCACAATTTTATACAAAACAATGCTGTTATTTTTTTTATTGTGTGCAATTACATGTTTTTTCTTGAATTATGTTTGCGTTATTCCATACAACTACAGACACTTTTCTACATAGCCATCTGATTCACTCTTGACCTTAAAGACAAAGATCTTCATGTTTGAGTTGTTCCAAAGGCCTGTGGCCTCAATGCTGGAGAGATACAGTCCACACGTTCATATTTACTCATGTCTTTGCTCACACTGTTCTGTGATTTTTACATATTAAAGTGTGTAACATTACACACACAGTTCTGCCTTATTGATAATGAGCGCAGTAGCAATCTCAGTGCTTTATCCACATATCTTAATATAATTTAACATTTGTTAGTTGATATCATAAATCCATGTCTCTTGTGTTGAATGAGCAGGACTCAGTTCACAGAATGATGTAAAATGAATTTAAATCTCTTACGGTTTGTTTTCATGTAAATTTGGACAGTTGAACTGTGTTGATTGAGTCAATGTGAAATTTCAAGTAATGTGTAGCAAGGTATAATGTGTGACAATGGTGACCTTTGGCAAAGTTGATAATAAATTATTGTTTTTTACTCAACTGTTATGAAATGTGTGCTTTTACTTAACCATACAATGCTCTGTGCAGTGGAGAAAAGCTGGATTCTTTTCCCGCTGAACTAATCTGAGCTATCTTCTGTGAAGTGTCTGCTCTCTACTCCAGGGAATATGTTATTACTAGAGGAAGATTTCAATTAAAATGGCCTTCCACTTGGACGGCTTTGTGTTCATTAAAACATACCCTGCTCTTCATCATTACTATGGGCTGTCGTGTGCAGCAGGGCAGAGCTATGTCCTCATACTAGGGCCTCTCACTGTTATCTTAAGTTGTCAATTTCATAGAGCTGGAATTGGAGTACCACGCTTTTTTTTTTTTCTTCAATTCAAATGTTTTGCACCTCTTCTTTCTGGAAAGTAAATTGTAGCTTATTCACCAAGACTACAGTTTAGTATAAAGACTATAAAAGTCTTATTGCAGAAGAAGCAGATTAGCGCTAACTCAAACAGGCTCTATGAGTGGGAATCATCTGGATATATGGGTAGCAACAACATAGCAACCAAAGAGCCAATCAGGAATGGCACAGTTCCCACTTGCGTTACTTGTTAGCTAAAGCTGAATTTGGGGACAGAAAGCACCTGACAGAAGACTTGATTAAAATAAAAACACCAGGATCATGAGGAGAACCACAAATTTCTAAAATGGTGAGTGTGATATGACAAACAATTACAGATTGAGTAAAAGTAAGGAGTCTGAGTGAATGGAGGCAAAGTGATTAGGTGTAAAACTATGAACACCTCCCATTCCTATATAATCTATGGTCAGTATGTTATTTCAGGGTTATTTTATCCATGTATTTGGGAGGGTTCTACAGCATGTCTATCCATCCATCCATTTTCTCCCACTTTATCCATTGCTGGGTTGCGAGGGCTGCCATCTAAGCAGAGTTGCCCACACACACCTCCTTCAGCTCCTCCAGGGGAATCCAGTCACTCAACTTGCCGAGTTATTCTACTGAGCAAACTCTTTCATGTTTCAAATGTATGCAATACGAAGAAGTTTGGACCCATAAGAGAAGATAACAGTGGGGAAATAACAGCACTCAGGTTGCAAACATCAAACAGGGTCTATTACTGTATTTAAGATAATATATAATAAAATAAAACTCTGGAGCTATGATTACACTTGGTTCGAGGATAAGTCACTTGCGGAGTATACACTACAGTCAGTAGGAGGTATTTACAGATGTTTACATTGTACAGAAGCAGCAAAGAATGTGACCAGAATAAACAATAGTAATGATAGCAGCAGGTAAAGTGACTAGAGAATTATCAGATGAATGGAGTATGTAATAATGTAGTAATAATAATAGCAGGTAAAGTGACTAGTGCTCCACCGGTGTGGCTGCAGATTTTAGTTCCAACCTAATCAGTGCTTAGGTGCTTAGGATGTGTAAGAAGATTCTGGCAACAAAAGTGTGATTGGAATTGCAGTGACTTTATTAGACCACTAAGAATGGATATCACATAATGTCCCTTTAAAAGTGTCTTCTCGTCAGTGTAATGGGTGCAAACGAGGAAATATTATTTGATTACAATGAACCATAATTAAACCAGTCTTTATCTGCTGCTGTACGTGCCTGTTCCCCAAGTCTGTGGCTGTTATAGACCTCTTACAGAATTTATTTTTGGATCTGAACTCACACTTCCTATCACGTCTGACCTAACGTGCTGTTGCATTTTATTACTATTGTTCATTTTAGAATCATATGTTTTGTTTGTATGGATGGATGTGTTTTTGCTGCTACTGGACACCTCTCCTACAGGGGATCAATAAAGTATCTATCTAGTGGATTATCAGAACAGGTAAATGGCACGCATACAGACTCAGTTCTCATTGTACAGTCTGACAGCCGCAGGAAGGAAGGACTTCTACTTCACACACTGCTGCTGCTGCTGCTGCTGCTGTTTCTGTCCGGTCCACGTGTTGTGCCTGCCTCTGAGACAGACCTTTATGCAGCTGTCGCGTACCTGCAGCATCTACATGTGGAAAAGTTGCCTGATGTGTGTCTCTCGCATGAATCCAGACGCCGCTCGGTGTCTAATGAAGCTGATCCCTGCTCTGTGGAATAGTCACTCAGGTGTAATTAAAGCCAGTCTAGTGACAGCCGTGGTATTTGTCAGAGCTCTGCAGCGGCTTGGACAGAAATGTCAAACTGATAGCATAGGCTCCTCTCCACTCCAGTGCTCCACACACACTAAGAACTACTCACCAGTGTTTCAAAGGCTTGCTGATAATATTAACTGTCTCTCTAAAAACAGGAAGGATACAAATTCTCCAGTCCGATCTATGTTCACAGATGTAGATAGATAGATAGATACTTCATGGATCCCCTTGAGGAGAAATGCAGGTGTCCAGCAGCAGAAACACATCCATCCATACCAGCAATGGCGTAGGTTTGGTTTCAGGGAGGGGGCACAATTGTCTTTTTCTTTTTACGTCCTGACCAGTGGGGGCGGGTCCCGACTCAAAATGTCCAAAATGATGTGCGCTGACATGCTTGCAATACCACACCGGGCCGATGGGGGTGGACCTGGAATAAGAATTGCCAATGCTAATGTACGCACCTTCTGACCTCTCGAAAACTCCTTTACAGGATGGTCCAAAAGTCACTCTTGGCCCAAAGCTACGTTCCAAATGTGTGTCAATGCTGAGGGGAGTGAACCAGTCTAGTTTAATCGCTATGAAATTTTAAAGGCACTTGTCAAATGAATGGAGCTCGTGCCGGCTGACGCAAGCGCAGAAACTGCCCATAGAGGATGAAAGTGATGGCACATTAAGTTGAATGGCGGAGATAGGCGTGACTACGTCCGTTAATATTTACAGTCATGGTCCTGACCGGGGGATGGGGGGCAATCCTAACTGCTGGACAATATGCAAATGGTTAGTGGAGCGCGATGACACTTAGTATACCCCGCATAGATAATTTTCTGACGGAAACCTTGGCATACTTTTCTCTTGTCTACTCACATTTGGCGACGCACAGAGAACACATATAACACGTTTCTTGACACTGACTACATGGCTTCAGTCAGTCGGACTTTAATGTTTAGAAGGTAAACCTCAAAATGTTAGTCCTCCCAAAATACACATACACAAATACACATCAAAAACTACACTTTCCTTGCATTAGAATACACATTAATTTATACTTGCCTCTTATTTTGCCAAATGCAAAACTTTTACACTTCTTTTTTTAATTATTATTTTCAAGAAAGTGATGCTAGAGTTAGAGATTTTGTTTTATGTTAATTAGTATAGCTATGGTTCACTTATCTTGTGCTGGCTGCTCCTCTTTCCAACTGTTCTATAACTTGTGATGCAACACTGAAATTTCCCCACTGTGTGACAAATAAAGGATCTCTTAATCTTTTCAGAAAGCGGTGTCAGTCGGACGTTATTTCAGAAGGTAAACATCATCATTTTAGTCCTCCCAAAATATTGGTGAGGACATGTCCCCGCGGCCCCCACGCAAACCTACGCCCTTACACACAAACATATAAGTACATAAAGTATAAACATTTCTAACTAACAATAATGCTCGTGTTCAACTCTGACAAATCTGCATACAAGTTTTGCTTTTTACTAAACGCTGCTACGGACCCAGTTTGCGACGAAAGATTAGCACTTTGCAGAATAAAACAAGCACTTTCACTAGTTTGGCATTGCAGCGCATCAGTAGCATGTGTGCGGTTGCAAAGATAAGTCATTTGGATTTGAGCATAGACCTCGAAGGAGCAAAGAAAATTAATAAATGAGCAGGATTGTTCTTCTTGGTACATGAAACCTTCTTTGCAAAACAATACAATTCACCCACACAAGTGTCAGACAGCGTAAACATGACAGAAGTGCTGTGAATTCAAAGGATTATCTGTGCAGTCTAATCCTCTGTGCCATGTTTGCTTCATCAAGCCCCAAATAATGTTGTTTGTCTTTTTCAGAGAACAATTGGACGTTACTTTTTCCCTGTTTGTTTGTCTATGTTTTATATTCAAACCCACACAAGGGGGCATGAGAGGCCAGTATAGATAAAAAGTGTGTTTTTAAAGTTGATTCAAGACTTTTGCCTCTGATTAGTTTGAGTATATTCTTTCCCAAAATATAATCAACTAACACAGTCAGTCTCTCTCTCTCTCTCTCTCTCTGTGTTGTTGTCTCTCTCTCTTTCTCTGTCTGTCTATCTCTATCTCTGGATATCTCTCTCTTTTTCTCTCTCTCTATATA